AGTAGGCGCCCCGGCTGCCGGGCCGGTTTCACTGCCAAGCGGGCAGCCCTTTGTGGGTACTCTGGCGCCCGCCCCAGCCCCGTGACTCGCCGTGGCTGGGGACCTTTCCCAGCCGGGAAGCGCAAGCAATTAAAAACCATAACAATTAGCAAGTGGGCCGGGGAGGGGAGCAAGCCCCCCCCCCCAGCCTCTCTGAAGGCGACCAGATTGCAGAGGGCTGATAACACGTCTCCAGCAGAGATGCTATCTATCTGGCCTGCCGGGTTGTTTGCTCAGTTGTTTTTGGAAAGCAGGTGGTTGGAAACGTTGCCTGAGCAAAGCGGTGGCTTCACGGCCAGAGGACCAGCTCCCATTGGGGCCATACCACTGGTGGGCACAGAGCAAGGCAGGGCAGGGCTGGGGGTGGGGGCTGCATTTCTGAGGGTAGGTCAACCTGTCCAGTTCCTCTGCACGGAGCAAAGATAAAGGAAGGAATTTATTTTTATGATGGACGAGCCAAATCTTGAACATTAGAGAGCAATGAAGGTCCTCTGAAGTCAGGGGATGTCCCCACCCTCCCCTGGACATATCTCTTTCCTCTGACAGCTTTATTTCACCTGGCTATCTCCCTTTTAAATGATGAATTCGCATTTTGTCTCTGCCTATTGTGGCAAGGAGGCTCATCCCACGCACAGCCCTTCGAGGGCTCTTGTGTCTGGGCTTAGCTTTAGATGCCCAGCAGCCCCATAAAGTCCAGGTGATGATCAGCCTGCCTGGGTATGGAGGATTAGGTTGAGGTTAAGGCAATGTGTTGGGGTGGAGAAGAGGTGGAGGTGTAAATGCTTTAGCCGGATTTGCTAAAAACTCATGTGGAGTTTTAGATACAGCATCTTTTAACTTTTTTCTTGTCTTCTCCTCTTTCCTTCCTTGCAGACATCAGCCCCGAGACTCGTGCCAATGTCAAGTTTGTGCAGGACACTTCCAAGTACTGGTATAAACCGGAGATCTCCAGGGAGCAGGGTAGGTAGATGGCACAGGGCAAAGAATACAGTCAAGTGAGCTGTGGTTGGGAGTTGGGGTGTATCTGGGATCACAGGGATTAGCGAGGATTTCCCTTAGGGGCTGGATTAGAGTGAAGGCAGATTGCGGATGCTCAGACCATGGCAGAGGGGGGTTGAAGCCCAGCTCAGCTGCAGGCTTGCATGATGTGGGCTCTCCAAACCTTCCCCTTGGTGGAGGAACACTGGTCCCCACAGCGTGCAGTGGATCTATGCAGTTTGGGGTGCAAAGCATCCAGATCTTGAGTTGAGAGAGCTCAGAGGGGTCTTAGAGACATGGGTAAAATAAGAGGGGAGAACAAGGAAGGGGCAAGGTGCCTTCAGGGCCAAGGTCCCAGCATTTGGCCCCTGGTCCCTGTCTGCTCTCCAGTGCTCGGTTGCTCAGAGCTGGGCTGTGTGGGAATGGATGCTCTGAGATGCCCACGCAAGGGCAGCGGAGGCAGGGGGGGCAGATGAGCCCCTGCCTGGCTGTAGACCCACTTGAGACCCCCATCCAGACATGCAGGTGGGACAGTAAAACACCGTGGTGTCCAGCTGTGAGGCCACAGAGCTGGGGCATCCCATCCCAACCCACACCTGCTGGTTTTGGAGGGCTCGTCGGCTCTCACTGTACGAGCTCTGAGGTCTGCCGTTCTCTCCTGCAGCCATTGCACTGCTGAAGGACAGGGAGCCAGGGGCTTTCATCATCCGAGACAGCCACTCCTTCCGGGGAGCCTACGGCCTCGCCATGAAAGTAGCTTCTCCACCTCCCACGGTCATGCAGCAGAACAAGAAAGGTATTGTGTGCCCTTCTCCATCCCACGCCGAGATGCTTTC